TATATATATATATATATATATTTAAATAACAATAATAACAATAGTAATAATAACAATTATATTGAATTTTTCAATTTAATGTATGATAAAAATTCTAAAACTATTCCAGGAGAAACCTTTTTAGAAATGTCCATTAATGTATTTTCTGAATAAAAATATTGTCTAATATAATTTCTATTAAAATATGTTTTGCACTAAAGAAATTCTTACATGAATCACAAACCGGTTTCTCTTCCCATTTCAATAAATATGAAAGAGTGAGTTTTGAGTGACATCTCATATATACGACCTGGTCATATCTGTTTTCCAAATAATAACAATAATTAACTCCTTGATTTAGTACTGGGTTCGCATTATAAATACAAAGGGTCACATTCATAATATCGTGCAATTGGTAATCTGAATAATGTGGTCATGCAAGACATTTCCATTATTCAGTCTCCTTTTAGTAAAATACTAACCGTGTCTGTGGTGGACACAGAGGAGACTCGCTGGAACTTGACCTTTGACCCTGATGAGTGTCGGCTGAGCATGGGCTCCTTGAAGGAAGACTCGCTGTTGGACACCGAGATGCAGTCTTTACGGGACGACTGGGAAAGAAAATGCAGACACGACACCTTCTCAGCCAGCGTGTCTCTGTGAATCAGTCAGAAATACACACTGCGTCATACATTGTCTCAGTATTGTGTGGCTGCTAAGGCATTTGCACTCGAACGGACCTGTATTTGGAGCGTATGATGGCGTAGATGAAGGGATTGTAGATGGCTGATGCTTTGGCAATCACTGCAGGAACTGCCTTGGAGTACGGCGTGAGAACGTGGCTGTACCTGGAACATAAAAACAATAACTAAAGCACATCTTGCAGCGTACAAAGTCATGCTGGTCTTTTCTTCAAGCATTATTTGCAAGGAAATGTTGCCTGAACGTTTGCAGTCCTTGTGAGCATTACTGACATCTGATGCAAAACATGATTGCCTTGTTTAGGATTTTTGTCTTGTTTTTTCAGTCCAAATATCTCAATATTCTTAAATCAAGATTCATTTACCTGAGAAGCAAAATAACTTGAAATATAAAGTCTTGCTTTCTGAGAAATTGTATCAAAATTAAGCAAGTTTATGCTTAAAACAAGAAAAAACAGCTTTCAGAAAAAATAAAAATAATCTTACTTTCCCTTTGAATTAGGATTATTTTTCTGACCCCAGTGACAGTTCCTCTTCAGGAACTCGAGCTGCGTCGGAAACGCTAGGGTAACGCCTTCTGTGACCACGCTCTGAATAACATGTGAAATCAGTCCAATAGCTGAGCGGGACGTCACGGGCGGGTGACGTCATGACCAGGAAGCTATAAAAGCACGTGCGGCGGAGCCAGCGTCAGCTTTCTGTCATTCAGCGAAGCGCTCTGTGTGTGTCAGTCATATTTATTGTTGTCTGTCAATTGTGAAAGTCTATAAGCTCCAGCTATGTCTAAGCTCATGCAAAGACAAAGCATTTCAAGGGCGAGAGCAAGCCACGTTGTAGGTTGTGTGTTCCTCCCTGCCCACGTTATATCACGAGTGGGGATACACACAGCCTGTGCGTTAGTGATGCGCGGATGAGCTAAAACGTCACCCGAATCCGCAGCTTCAAATAAATTATCTGCCATACTTCCGGCATCCCTGCCAGCGCTTGCCTCATTCCTGAAGCTGACGCTGGCTCCGCCGCACGTGCTTTTATAGCTTCCTGGTCATGACGTCACCCGCCCGTGACGTCCCGCTCAGCTATTGGACTGATTTCACATGTTATTCAGAGCGTGGTCAGAGAAGGCGTTCCCCTAGCGTTTCCGACGCAGCGTCTCGTTCCCTCGAGGAACTAGGGTTACATACATAACCTGAGACGATTTGTTTCTTGTTTTAAGCATAAACTTTTTTTCTTGATTTTTGCATGTTTAAATACACTACAAAATGATTGTCTTATTTAGTATTTTTGTCTTGTTTTCCAGTACAAATATCTCAAGAAAATTAAGCTACATTTACTTGAGAAGCAAAATGACTTAAGATAGAAAATCTTTTAAATAAATAAATAAATGAATGAAAATTAAGTGAGTTTATGCTTAAAACAAGAAAAAAATATTTGTCAAAAAGCATGTACTTTTTTTCAGAAAACACTTAATATCTTGAGAAAGTTTGCTTTAATGTATGCTTTAATGTAATTGATTTTAGAATGTGTGGATACACTGCAAAAAAATATTTTCATAATTAGTATTTTTGTCTTTTTCCATTGCAAATATATATAAAAAATATCAAGATGCATTTACTTGAAAAGCAAAATGACATAAATCTTAAAAAAAAAAAAAAAAATCTAAATGAAGTGAGCTTAAAACAAGAAAATATCTGTCAATAGGGTAAGACAAACAGACTTAATTCAAAGAGAAAACAAGATGTTTTTTTCTTGTTTAAAGCATGAATTCACTTAAATTTTGATACAGTTTCTCAGAAAATGACTTAGTATCTCAAGTCGTTTTGCTTCTCAAGTACATCTGATTTAAGAATATTTAGATATTTGTACTGGAAAACCAGACAAAAATACTAAATAAGAAAATAATTTTTTTTGTAGTGTATTTGTACCAAGACAATGTTTTTGTAGTGTAGACTGACTAAAGCTGAGGAGTGTTAGTGAGCGGTCAGGAGAAGCCGGTGACCCCTGCAGTGGCTGTTTACATGACATGGAAGTGACCTCGAGGTGTTGTCAGCTGAGCGGAAAGAATCGCATGTCTGATTATAACTATCCTCCAGCAGACTGAACTCTAACGCTAACGCCGTCCACATCGCCTCAGTGAACCCAGCAGCCTTTTGCTGTGGACAGTACTTCTATAAAAGGACGTCTCTTTACCCTGGAATTCTGGGAAAGCTTCAGATCTTCTGCATGGTTTGACTCCCTTTGATAGATTAAATGAATCTGAACATTTCTTTGAGAGATTAGATGATCTACGTGAAACCGGCCATCACAGTTTAGGACCAAACTGCTAAATACAAACGTTTGTCTGTGTGTTTAATCCAAATGTGGGAATGCAATAGAGTCCGGTAGAGGAGTGATGCATTTTTGAAGAGCATTTTAGCACTTACATCAGTAATTCCCCCTTGTGACTTTTTGTAAAGCTTTTACTTGTCTTGAAAAAGGCGGTTGCTAACAAGTGGCTACTACAGAGGTAAACACGGGAACAGATTCGGAGAAATGCAGCATTGCATCAGTGTCTCAGCAATGGATGCTCTGCAGTGAATGGGTGCCGTCAGAATGAGAGCTGATAAAAACATCACAATAATCCACAAGCAATCCTCAGCACTCCAGTCCATCAGTTAACATCTGGAGAAGACAAAAGCTGAAACAAATGCATCATTAAGACGTTTTTAACTAAAATGCGAGTCTATAATCCATAATAACGCTTTCTCCAGTGAAAAAGTGCATCTGCTGTTGTCTCTCACATCAAAATCCAGCCACATATTTGTTTAGAGCTGTTTAAACGGTGCTTGATCTGTGCAGATTTCTCTCCTGATTCAGACCAGAACACTTTTTCACTGGAGGAAGCGTTATTATGGACTCGTATTTTAGTTAAAAATGTCTTAATGCTGGATGTGTTTCAGCTTTTGTCTTCTCCAGATGTTAACTGATGGACTGGAGTGCTGTGGATTACTTGTGGATTATTGTGATGTTTTTATCAGCTCTCATTCTGACGGCACCCATTCACTGCAGAGCATCAGTGAAGCAGTGCTACATTTCTCCAAATCTGTCAAAATAATAACTACAGATCTGCCTTTAGTTCTATGTACTATGCACTGGAAAACAACTAACCAACAGTCAAACCAATGACACAATAATCATTTCGAGCAGATGATGCTGATAGTTACCCTGCCCAGGCGATGAGAGTGACGCAGGCGTAAGGAGACCAGGACAGCACGAACACAATGATGACCACAAACGCTATCTTCGCCAGCTTCCACTCTGTCTTTATGGACTGCTGCTGGATGAGCGTCGTCTTCCTCACATGACTGCCCAGCTTCTCCAGATCTCTGAACACACGGGAAGATGGATGATGGGACGTTTTTCCATCCTGCCATGACCTGTCCTGATTGTTTATCATGGTGATCCCAATAGGCAAGAGTATGTGAGTGTGTGCATTAAAGAAAACTCTATTCTGTTTTCTAAAACGATCATTTAGGTCAGACTGAATATTTACAACAGGTATTTTATAACACATCAATACTTTACTATATACTGAATATAATGCTGAAAATAATACCAAATAATGTTATATGGATAAATATAGTTATGATAAAAAGAAAACAAGTCGAAAGAATAGAAAAAGAGAACGCTAGTATATCATATAATAATTATAACTTGAAATAAAATTAACATTAACTAATAAAATAAAGCTCATTTTATTTCAGCTAGATGCTGAAGCAAAATGTCTCATTTTCATTGACGTTAAAGACCTAAAATAATTAAACTAAATAAACTGAACCTAAAACTTACTAAAAATAAAAACTATACAGACATATTAAAAAATAAATACATAAAATGACAAAAACACACAAGTGTACTAAAACTTTAACTAAATTTAAAATGAAAACAGAAAATATCAAATTAAAATCTAATTCAAAATATTAACAAAAACTAAAATAGTATATTAATGATATAGGCTACAACTACTGTCGTAGCTGCAATTTTCCAACAATTATATGGCAACAAAAACTAGTCAGAATGTAACATGCATGTAAAAAGTTTAATATTTTAAGCCATTTATCAAATGTTAAATATGGTCTGAAAAATCTATAAATAAGTCTAGAAAAGTTTGATATTTTGAAATGGAAAGCATGTGGAAACCTGGTTCATACTGTACCTGCTTGCGTTCCGAATGGCGAGGAACATGAAGAAGTAGCAGTAAGAGATGATTCCAAGAGGGATGAAGAACACAAAGCAGCAGAGCATCAAGGTGTAGCTCTTGTTCGCCGGCGTGGACGTCACATAGTCCCACGTGCAGGACGTCATGAGGCCTTCTGGGATGTAGGAACCTGTCCAAGAAAAACAGAGTCAAGAAACTAAACAAAAAAACAAAACTGTTGTCTCATCCAAAGGCAAAAAAAGACATTACACTCACTCCATCCCATAAGAGGCGCCAGACTCCAGCACAGAGAGTAGATCCAGACCAGGAGGATGATAATGAGCGTGCGCCGTCCGGACGTCCAGCGGATGGCCTGCAGGGGCTTGGTGATCACGATGTAGCGGTCGATGGAAATGGCCAGAAGGTTGATCATGGATGTGATTCCGAACAGAGCGCCACAGAAGGCGTACATCTTACAACCTGCGTGGAGAAGCAGATGTGTGATGTGGAAACAGATCGCAGCTGAGTAAGCGTCTGGATGGGGAGAATGGGAAATTAGCTACCCATTTCACCGAAAACCCATTCCTTGTACATGCAGTTGACGAAGAAGATGGGCGACTGAGTGATGGCCATGAGGAAGTCACTCACTGCCAGATTCATGATGAAGTAGTTTGGAGCGTCCGTAGCTTCTTATTACTGAAACACAAAATATACCTTTTTACAATCAGCTTCAGTCTCAGTTTCAAAATGTCACAGTAAAAGTGAAGTACGGCGTTTCCTCAATACATTAGCTAAACTGATCGACTTTGACTAACTAATCACACTGAGAAAAAAAAATGGTGCTGAAACCATTTTCACTCAGAAATTGCTGGTAAATTTCACAAATACTTATAAAGAATCTGCAAGTTACACATCGAATTGAAGTAGAAAAACTGAAATGTACTCCAACAATCTTTGTTTTATTTGCAAATTTGAAAAAAATGTTTTTTATAGTGCATGCTTCACCTCACACCCATTTAAACTTTTAATGCACACATTTTTGCCCGGATATGAAATACTGTACAATGATTTGCACTTTTATATCACCACACCGTGCAGTTCTTCAGCAGTTTTAAAGATTATTTAATATACAGCAACTTTAGTGATCAGTGGAAACGTATCTCTATATAAATGCAATAATATGTAAAGATTCATATGAGGAGTGCATTTCTGCATGATGCATTATCAAAATTGAAATGGAAGAGTTTAATGAATCCTTAGACAAAATATTTAAAAATATATATTTTATTCAGAGGCCCAAACTGAGCAAAAGCATGCAATTTTTGCAATATGCAATTTATTTTGCAATTTGGTGCAGATGCTGATATTTATATGATGAACTTCTGCTGCTTGTCATGTAAATCAATGAGATTTTTATAACAGTAGAGCAGATACTGACATTAAATGATCTAAATATCAGTCGTGGCTCTATATCTCCAGTAATCTGTCTCAGTAAGATGAGATTGAAATGCTCCAAACATATAATGCAGTGATTGAGAGCTGAAGAAATAAAGGCTCCTCAGAAGATGTGAGATGTTCTGGAGGCTTGTGAAGATCATTCCTCCGCTGAGGAACAGTGAAAGTAAAGCTTCTGGAAACAAATGCTCCTCAAAAGATCCTGAGGATCAGATTTGAGACTCTAAAACATGATTGATGGAGAATCAAGTAAAGCTGAGCTGCTTCAGTCCAGTAAGTGTTCATCTGGAGATATTACTGCAGTTATTCTGATCTTTACTTGATAAAATCAGTCAAGATTTGACACGAGAAGCTCCAGCTGAAGCTGAACGTTTGTACAACTAAAAGAGCTTTTACTTGATAAAGTAGCGTGCTAGAAACTTCTACACGCTTTGATGTGTTAAATAGGTTTATTGCGTCTGAGGTGATTCATCACACAACAATCATTGTGATTGCACATCATCTCATTAATCCTACATTCACAGTTCACACAATTTCCTCTGATTGAAAGTCGCCCGGCATCACCTGCTAAAACTCTCATCCCCGTGCATGTCACGGGTGCACACACACGAGGGACGAGGAGACGCTGGAGAATACTTTACACAAGACTTTATTCGTAGGAAGGAACCAAGGGAGACGAACACAGGAAGACGTTCACACGAAGACCTTCACAGGAAGACGTACACACGAAGACCTTCAACATCGGACAGAGAACTAGGGACTGGGAACACTTTATATACACACACACAGGAGGAGGGGATGACGAGACACACCTGGGAGCCATGACACATCAAGGGAAACACCTGGGAAGAAATCAACTTCATTAATCAGGGGAGGAACAGGAAACAAACCAAATAAGGGCATGGGAAGGCACATGGGGAGCAGGACACACACGAAACATGGAACAGAGTCTGACAGTGCATCAGGCATTAGAGCCTGCAGGAGACATCAGCTCTTCACAGGAACAACACAAGCTTTCCTAGAAAGCTCTCAGCTGACAGACGACCTCCAGCGAGAGGCTGCAGCTCGCTTCACGAGGACGAGTTTGAGTGATTCTCAGTCAGGGAGAAAATCCACACATACAGTACGATGAGAGTCTGTTAATGCTGCTGTTGACGTCTGAATAACAGCAGTCATGTTTAGTTATTAGGTAACACTGGACATAATCTGGGACAGAGATGGACTGTGCCTTTGTGTTACATATATTGGACGGTGTTAAAGGAATAATTCCGACAAAAATGAAAATTTGATGAGTTTGTTTCTTCGTCAGATTTGGAGAAATGTAGCATTGCATCACTGTCTCAGCAATGGATGCTCTGCAGTGAATGGGTGCCGTCAGAATGAGATCTGATAAAAACATCCCAATAATCCACAAGTTATCCACAGCACTCCAGTCCATCAGTTAACAACAAACTCATCCTAATCTTGTACGGCATGAGGGTGAGCACATTTTCAGCAAATGTTCATTTCTAGGTGAACTATTGCTTTAACATGCACATGCATGAAGTGAGATACACTGAACATAAAAAATACATTATCCTTATTAAACGTCTTGATAAGACAAAACTCCATCCGGACAGCCATATCCCTCACAATCTTCAAGAAACAATTGAAAACTCATCTCTCATCTAACTGCATCCTCCAAAAAAAAAAATCTATGCCTTCACTTTTTCTTTTCTATTATTATCCTTTATCCCCTTTTACTATTTTGAACGAAGACTGAAACCTTGTATGACGGGCACTTCTCGTATTTATTGCCATCTTATGATGTTTGTGTGCATTTGTGAATAGAAAGCCTCCACAACAGTTAGCAGTAGATTGAAGCGCTCGTCTGAGCACTCAGCATGATTTTAAAAGCAACACATTTCAGTGCCAGATCGCCTCTTATTTAACACAAACGAAAGAAATGAATACTCTGCTAGTCAACTAAGATGTTTCATTTGTAATAGATATATCTATACTGCGAGATGTTTCAAAAACATTTGAGATCCAACTCGCATTAACAGGGGAATAGCTGATCTGTCTGCTTACACAGCGGGCGCAAATGCACATATCAGATTTATTTCCACATATGAGGCCTGAAACCGATCTGAGAATATCGGAATCCATCTGCTTTTTTCCTGCTTACACGCATATCGGATCTGTTCCACATGGGAGGAAAAAATCGGAATTGGGTCACTTGAACCATAATGCGACCTAAATGTAAAAGTTGACAAGTGACTCTATTTGCTTTCTTAACACATATTGTTAATGCAATATCTAACATAAGCATAGAATGAGCAATATTTTTAAAGTCTTTGTTAATATTGGTTAATGCTAGTTATTGCTTGTTTGTTCATGCAAGTTCACAGTGCATTAACTAATGTTAACAGAACTGACTTTTAATTTTAAAACATATTAGTAAATATTGAAATAAACATTAACTAATATTAATAAAGACTGTGGAAGTATTGTTCGTTATTAGTTCATGTTTATCATTTAGTTAATAAATGAAACCTTAATGTAATTTAAACCATGTGAAAATAAGCTTTTCTTTTAAGCCAAAATATCAAAAGAATAATAAAAGTCAAATATCAAAATATTTGAAAAGAAAGAAAGAAAGACATACCAGGTTGGAACGCCATAAGGATGAGTAAATGAGCTTTTATATTTATATGCAGTACTCAAGATTGTCTCTCAGAGTCAGATCTTTAGCACTCATAAGTGTGTGTTTTGTCTGTAGAGATGTGATCTATAAGAAGATGTCATGGGACTGAGGAGAGCGGTGCTCTTTGAGAACGAGAGCTGAATAAATGCAAAAACTGTGTCAGCGGCCCTAGAGGATTTAGACTGAATGCATTGCGTGGAGCTTCAGAGAGAGTCACACTCACTGACACGACTTCATGACTGCCGTCCCTAAATACTGAAAACACACTACAAGCCCTGCCGCTCTCAGTGTATCCACAATATAGCCAATGTTCTTTCTGACAGCAAATCATAGTCTTTAGATTAAAATGCCACTTAGACATATTTTACTCATCTGAATTGTTTTAGACTAGTTTTAGTTGACTGAATACCAAGATTTTAAAACCTAACAGGTTTAGTTCAATTGTGAGGCATCAATTAAGCATTTCTCTAAAATTACCAAATTCATTATATACTCCTGGAGAATATATTATTAACTTGTTAATATGACTAATTTTAAGGTTTGAACGTGCAATACAGACACAGATTTAATCTTTTTTTAATGAATATTGAAATATGAAATTATATTAAAAAAAAAGAAAAAGAAATGATACTCTAAATATGTAACTAAAATGCCAGTAGGTGGCAGCAGGTCACTGTCTTAATGAGTGAGTCATTGAATAATTCACTCAACCACTTCGTTCAAAGAGCTGATTCATTCAGAATCAAAGCCAGTCTTTATGAATGAGTCACTGAATCATTGACTCATGATTCTAGCAAACAGCTGATTCATTCAGAATCAAAGCCAGTCTTTATGAATGAGTCACTGAATCATTGACTCATGATTCTAGCAAACAGCTGATTCATTCAGAATCAAAGCCAGTCTTTATGAATGAGTCACTGAATCATTGACTCATGATTCTAGCAAACAGCTGATTCATTCAGAATCAAAGCCAGTCTTTATGAATGAGTCACTGAATCATTGACTCATGATTCTAGCAAACAGCTGATTCATTCAGAATCAAAGCCAGTCTTTATGAATGAGTCACTGAATCATTGACTCATGATTCTAGCAAACAGCTGATTCATTCAGAATCAAAGCCAGTCTTTATGAATGAGTCACTGAATCATTGACTCATGATTCTAGCAAACAGCTGATTCATTCAGAATCAAAGCCAGTCTTTATGAATGAGTCACTGAATCATTGACTCATGATTCTAGCAAACAGCTGATTCATTCAGAATCAAAGCCAGTCTTTATGAATGAGTCACTGAATCATTGACTCATGATTCTAGCAAACAGCTGATTCATTCAGAATCAAAGCCAGTCTTTATGAATGAGTCACTGAATCATTGACTCATGATTCTAGCAAACAGCTGATTCATTCAGAATCAAAGCCAGTCTTTATGAATGAGTCACTGAATCATTGACTCATGATTCTAGCAAACAGCTGATTCATTCAGAATCAAAGCCAGTCTTTATGAATGAGTCACTGAATCATTGACTCATGATTCTAGCAAACAGCTGATTCATTCAGAATCAAAGCCAGTCTTTATGAATGAGTCACTGAATCATTGACTCATGATTCTAGCAAACAGCTGATTCATTCAGAATCAAAGCCAGTCTTTATGAATGAGTCACTGAATCATTGACTCATGATTCTAGCAAACAGCTGATTCATTCAGAATCAAAGCCAGTCTTTATGAATGAGTCACTGAATCATTGACTCATGATTCTAGCAAACAGCTGATTCATTCAGAATCAAAGCCAGTCTTTATGAATGAGTCACTGAATCATTGACTCATGATTCTAGCAAACAGCTGATTCATTCAGAATCAAAGCCAGTCTTTATGAATGAGTCACTGAATCATTGACTCATGATTCTAGCAAACAGCTGATTCATTCAGAATCAAAGCCAGTCTTTATGAATGAGTCACTGAATCATTGACTCATGATTCTAGCAAACAGCTGATTCATTCAGAATCAAAGCCAGTCTTTATGAATGAGTCACTGAATCATTGACTCATGATTCTAGCAAACAGCTGATTCATTCAGAATCAAAGCCAGTCTTTATGAATGAGTCACTGAATCATTGACTCATGATTCTAGCAAACAGCTGATTCATTCAGAATCAAAGCCAGTCTTTATGAATGAGTCACTGAATCATTGACTCATGATTCTAGCAAACAGCTGATTCATTCAGAATCAAAGCCAGTCTTTATGAATGAGTCACTGAATCATTGACTCATGATTCTAGCAAACAGCTGATTCATTCAGAATCAAAGCCAGTCTTTATGAATGAGTCACTGAATCATTGACTCATGATTCTAGCAAACAGCTGATTCATTCAGAATCAAAGCCAGTCTTTATGAATGAGTCACTGAATCATTGACTCATGATTCTAGCAAACAGCTGATTCATTCAGAATCAAAGCCAGTCTTTATGAATGAGTCACTGAATCATTGACTCATGATTCTAGCAAACAGCTGATTCATTCAGAATCAAAGCCAGTCTTTATGAATGAGTCACTGAATCATTGACTCATGATTCTAGCAAACAGCTGATTCATTCAGAATCAAAGCCAGTCTTTATGAATGAGTCACTGAATCATTGACTCATGATTCTAGCAAACAGCTGATTCATTCAGAATCAAAGCCAGTCTTTATGAATGAGTCACTGAATCATTGACTCATGATTCTAGCAAACAGCTGATTCATTCAGAATCAAAGCCAGTCTTTATGAATGAGTCACTGAATCATTGACTCATGATTCTAGCAAACAGCTGATTCATTCAGAATCAAAGCCAGTCTTTATGAATGAGTCACTGAATCATTGACTCATGATTCTAGCAAACAGCTGATTCATTCAGAATCAAAGCCAGTCTTTATGAATGAGTCACTGAATCATTGACTCATGATTCTAGCAAACAGCTGATTCATTCAGAATCAAAGCCAGTCTTTATGAATGAGTCACTGAATCATTAGGTGCGTTCGACTTCATGCAGCACTGCGCAGATCGATCGCAATCTGATTTGAAGCAGTGCATGCCGGTTAGTAATTTTGTCCGACTTCAGCCGGCGCAGTTTCTCCAGAGCGGCTGATGACTCATGATTCATTCAAACAGCTGATTCATTCAGAAATAAAGCAAGTCTTTATGAATGAGCCACTGAATCATTGACTCATGATTCAGTCAAACAGCTGATTCATTCAGAAACAAAGCAAGTGACTGTTTTTATAGATTCATTCAGCAACGAAACACTGCTGTGTGTTGCTCAGAGATGCATAACAGTTTGAAAGTGTGAAACACATTAAAGGGGTCATATGATGCGATTTCAATTTTTCCTTTCTCTTTGGAGTGTTACAAGCTCTTGGTGTAACACTATTTCAATGTTGTAAAAAAAATATATTGACAAAATCAACAGCCCTAGTTTTTTAGTTAATGTTGTTTTTGTTTGTGAAAAAAATGTAGTTGATAAAAACTATGACGACAATTAATAATCAATTAAATTAACACTGATTCACACTAGAGTTAAATACAGTGCCACTCCTGTTAAACCTTGATTAATCCCATACCGTTATTTACAGGAATGACATTTCTATAACTGCATTTACATTAAATCTAGTTAAGAATCCAAACCAAACCGTAACTTTATCATATGTTCACTTCCGTATTTAAATATGGTCGTCACCATGAAGTCACAGTGTGTCTGCTGTCATCATCTATTACTGACGGCAAACTGTTCCTCCCAGCAAAGACTAAAATAAACCCGTCAGTATAAAACCATGTCAAGACTGCTAGACTTCAAGTATACAGCAGTACGAGTAATTTAAATAAATGACAAAATCAGCAGTGAGTCAGTCACATGAGCGATGCAGCATGTAAGTTAGTTAAGTTAAGACTAACAAACACTTCACAGCACCAGTTGGCTCAGACCTCAGTGATAGCCAGTATACTGGACTAAGTGTGTTGAAATCAGTTTGAGATCAATGAGATCTTGTGAAAAAAGAATCTCAAAAGTGGCTCAAACTGTGCTCAGATTTGCTAAAATCAGAGATTTCAGTATGAACTCATCAAATTCAGCTGTTATCCACATTATGTTTATATTGGGAAGTTTGTAATAATTAAGATTTATTTTTAATGTTTTAAAATTTGATCAAATATATTCAAAAGTATATATAATGATACAAAAGATTTCCGTTTCAAATAAATGCTGTTATTTTGAACTTTCTATTCATCAAAGAATCCAAAAAAAAAAATGTTTCCACAAAAATACTGTGCAGCACAACTGTTTTCAACATTGATAATAATCAGAAATGTTTCTTGAGCAGCAAATCAGCATATTAGAATGATTTCTGAAGATCATGTGACACTGAAGACTGGAGTAATGATGCTGAAAATACAGCTTTGATCACAGAAATAAATTACAGTTTAACAGATATTCACATAGAAAACTGTTACTTTAAATTGTAATAATATTTCACTATTTTAACTGCTATTACTGTTTTTGTAATCAAATAAATGCAACCTTTGTGAGCAGAAGAAACTGGAATGAAATTAAATATAATTTGAAACTCCATTAAGTTTCAGTTGTTTAATGCTCACCTAGATCTAAAACAGCCGCAGCAGCCTCATAAGGATAAATGTTTAAAGTTGAATATTGACACTCTATGAGAACTTGAGGATGTGAGATCCTACCTGAAGAAGGCATACATGACCAGCATGTTTCCGATCACTCCCACTGCCCCGATGACGGCCACGAAAAACGCCACTATGTAGTGTGCATGATCGGGAACGTCCACTTTCCTGAAGAAGCCGCGGTCCATGTCCACCGGCTGCTCCATACCTGCGTCAGCCACAGAGAAGATGCTCGTTAAAGCTGCATCTGACCTGATTGACCTCTGAACGTTCTGACACGTTCTCCAGGAGAACCTCCTCACAGTCACCTCTCAACACATTTCCAGCAGCTGGCTTTAGTGTTTGGGGTTTGTTCGAGCTCTTATCTGTCGCAGGGCACATGTGATCCGAGAGACTTAAAGGAAATAAGAACATGCTCTGTTTGAGCTCTCGCTCGTCCTGTACTGAAAACCGCCTCCAGCTCCAGAAAGCAATAACACGTGCTGCAAACAGACTTATTTTTAAAATAACTTCAGATGAATATGTTTCATGAGCTTCATACCGTGAATTATGTCTGTCTGGATGAGCTTCAGCAACACTCTCTTCATTTGATCTGTAGTTTCAGCTCATGTCTAATATTAAATGTTATGAATAATATTTAGAGTCTCAGGACATTATAATCTTGAAAACATGGGGTCAGTTTCTGGACTCTAAAAATAGCTTGAACGTGAATGCTGTATTCTGTCTCTATATTTATTTACATTGTATGATCGTAGACACAGATTACATTTATTTTTAACCCCATTTTCCGTGACTTATTTATTTTACTATTACTATTATTATGCAAAACTTGTTTCTTATCCTTATTATTATTATTCCACATGGCAAATAAATAAATAAATCTAGCTAAAATATATATATATATACATATATTTTTGAAATTGAAAATATATTTATTTTCAATCTTCATATACAAGAAAATCCATTACAGAAGCCTACATTTAGGCTAAATGTGTTACACATTAACACGTGTCATAGACAAGAAATAAAGTTTGTCTTCAAATGTCACGCATGTGAATGTATTTTGTTGGATTCAAATATATAGTATATTGTATAGTATATAAAGTATATTTTTAAATGCTTTTTTTATTTTTTAAAAATATATATTTTCAAAAATATATAAAAATGGCCAAAACTTTATTTAAAAGTACATTTGAGTATATATATAT